AACAGCAGCTCCGCGTTCGAGCAGCTGCGACCGCCCACATCCCCCGCCATCGTCGTCGCCAGGAGACCCGGGTCAGCTACCCACAAAGCCCCGCGGGGGAAGCGTGCCGGAAGTGACGTCACGCCGGAACCCCGGGGCTGTCGTCACTCCGCGTGCGCCGCGCGCGCGGCTTCCTCGTTTCCGACGCTGGCGGCGGCGCCCGGGCCGGGCCCGGCCCGCGAGCCGGCGCTCCGCGGCGTGAGAAGGAAGAAGAGGCTGTGAGACCGAGAGGCGGATGGCGTGTGGAGTCTTGCGGGCGGAGAGGGAAGAGCGAAGTTCGCGGCGCTGGCGGCCGTTGGTCGCGCCTGCTGTGACGTGCGGCGGCAGAGGCCACAGGGATTCGCGGGGCGGCCTCGGTGGCGCCGAGGGCCGGTGGACGTGACCCTGAAGCTGGCACGGGGCGTGTCCGGAGTCCTCTTGTTGCGCTTTCTGTTTCTCTTTTCCGCCTGTTTGTCGTCTGCCTCTCTGTCGCTTTCCTATGTAGTGCAAGCCCAGAAAGGCCAGAGGCCCTCTTCTTCTAATTCCCCGTAACCCCGGCGCCTTGGGCATAGAGGTGTTCGAGTCTTTCCTGAAATATTGCTCTGAATTAACCTGCCCACACGTGGAATATAATCCCCGGCTGGAAAACGCCGGTAGTCCGAGCAGCCGTTTGCTAGACGTTTATCGTGTCCGATCCTGCACTTTACACGCACTGTCTCTTTCCTCCCAACCGCCTTACGGGGTTTCTATCCCTAGAATGCCGGTTGTTCTGACGAGGAAACTGAGGCATAGGAGGGCTGGTGGGCTCAAGATCACAGAGTGAGATAGCGAGTACGTTTTCTCTGCACTTGTTAGCTACAAGGAGGCCATCGTTTTTAGTGTAAACACATTGCTGTAGGTGTAAATTATGGTCTAATTCCAAGCAGTTAATCTACCAAGAAATCTTTTCTGCTTCTCTTTCATTTGTTGGAGAGATGTATATCCCCAAATAGTTTGCACATCTAAAGCTTAAACTTGCAGACATGTTCTGAGCGCTTATCGTTTGTATCATTGTATTGGAAGTTATTGCATTGCTTCAGTAGATATGAACAGTTCTGAGGAGCCAAAAGATAAAGCTTGAAAGGGCACTGGAAGTGAGATGCTGAATCAAAAGCACAAAATAAAGCTGAGAGGTTTTTTTTGCAACTTATCCTATCATTTAGGTATGTAATACTTTGTGTCTAGACACCGAATCTCAGAGCTGGGAGGAAACTTAAAGGTTACTCAGTCCAGTTCTTTCATTTTAGTGCCAAGAAAGCTGATCTGAAAGAAATTAGATGACCTGCCCCAAATTGAAGAGAACGTTAAAACTGAGTTGAGGCAGGTATTTGAATGTCCTAAATAGGAGTTTAATATATTAGCTTCATGGGATTAACATCATGATATTCCATATCCAAAATTTGATTTGATTTTCATAACAATATGTAGTTAGTGTAATTGGTATTATACCCATTCCCTTCAATGGGAGGCACATTGTTTTAGTGTGAAAAGCAGGTAGCTACCTTAGAAAGATCCTGGGCTTGAAACCAGACCTCAGTTCAGATTGTATTTTGCTGCACCAAGGTCTCAGTTCCTCATCAGAAAAATGCTGTGCTAACGCTTTCAGTGAAGGATGACCAAAGGAGTAGAGATTGTATAACACACTTGGCATCGACTAAGTGCTTAACCAGTAGCTGGTTTTTAGAAAGTTTTTGGTTATAAGAAATAGTCTAGAGGAGAGAAAGGACAGGCTTTGGAGTGGCTCAAAGATGGATCATAACCCTGACTCTTGTGTTCACCTCGGCATGTATTCTGTCTCTCCCAGCTGTGGCTTCCTCACCTCTTAGATGGAAGTTCCAATGCCACCTCACAGTGGTATGGGGATTGGAGCTAAAGTATGTAAACTGCCTCTCCTTTTAGCTTTACTTGGAGACCTGTTGAAGCCTCCTTATTGTCATCAAAGGAGAGAAGTGACAGCATGGTACCATAAGGGGGAAAAACCTTGAGTTTAATAGCCTAAAAATTTGGTTACAGATCCTTGTGTTCTTTCTGCCCGTGGTTTTCTGAACCAATCACCTAACCTGAAGCCTCAAACTTTGCATCAGCAAAAATGCTCAGTGACAGGTAAGATCTTTTTTTTCCTTCCAGTTCTTTCCAGTTTAAAACTAAGAAGACTTCCTCCTAAGCTTTAACTTAATCTATTAATGTTATTCTAGGCACCTCTGAAGCAAAAATCTCAGGATAAAAGAAGTGTCATCTGAGGCAAAAAAAAAAGAAAAGAAAGAAATCAAGATTAAGAAAGGAGGAACTAGAATGGGATTCATACACCCTCTCTCCTGCCTCCAAGGGAAGGAGCTACTGCTTGGTAATGCCCACCCACTCCTTCCTGGGCAACCTTTACAGAGTGGAGCCTTTGGGAATTTTCAGCCTGCTGACTGTGTTATAGTCAGGGTTTCTGACTTGGGAGATTAGTGGGAAGGCCCTTGAATTTGCGTTTCTCACAAGTCCTGGAGTGATGGTTCAAATATGCCCAGGCAGAAGGGCCGCCTTGCAGAGATTTCTGCCATACTGCATGGGAAGGAAGCCCTGACCCTCAAACCCAAGACCAAAAGACTAAAAACCACACACATAGAGTAGAAAAAGAACATCCCAGAATTTCTCTGGGGACCAGTAACATGAGAACCTAACATTCCTCTCTTCTCCTTGTCACTTCAGCAATCTTCCCAGCCTGGACACTGCCATAGGGAAAGCGTCTCCCGTTGATAAGGTTATTGTCACTGCAGGTAAATGAGGGCTTCAAATAGAAATAAGGTTCAGTTGCGAAAAAAAAATTCTGTTTTGTTACATATTTCAATTTGTAGCCTGAAACATGCTACAGCATTATCTGTGAATATTATATAGTAATCATAAGGCTGACTCAACGTTTTAAGCTAAAGATTATCAGAATTTTTACTTTGCTCAAAGATTCATTGAGATTTTTATTTGGTGGCTGTAGTTGATGAGAACAGAGCTAAGGGGAACCCACAAATCCTGTCTTGCTTGGCATCACTTCACTGGGTTGTGAGTTCTCCTAAGGCAGAGTGCATACATTTCCTTTGAATCCCTTATCTAGTGACTAGCATACACAGTACTTATATTTAGTAGGTGCTCAGTACATTTTTGTGGAATGAATGTATCATGAACAAAATATATACTGAGGACTGTGGGTGCTGATTCTTCTTGTTGTTAGTGTAATATTCAACATATTTGTGTTACAAATATTGCATGAGTTGTCAAAAATAATCCTGAGACTAAATAAAGGAGCTTCAAAGCGAAGGTCACAATTTAAGCAATAGTTCACATTTTAGACCAGTGTTTTAGCTATTTAGAGCACGGTTAATTAATGACTTTTTTCCCATTATTGTCATTTCTCATTTTGCTTACAATCAGATCATAATGAAGATGCATTTACTTAAACTACTGACTTTCTTATAAACCCAGTGCCATGGTCATTTTAGTCTGCTATAGCAATGTACCATAGATTGGGTAGCTTATAAACAACGGAAATTTATTTCTTATAGTTCTGGAGTCTGGGAAGTCCAAGATCAAGGTGCTGGCATATTCATTGTCTGACGAGGGCCCATTTGTCATAGATGGCAACTTTTAGCTGCCTTTTCACAAGATAGAAGGGGCCGACAGGCTCCCTTGGGTTTCTTTTATGAGGGTACTAATCCTTCATGAAAGTACTACCCTCGCAACCTATTATAATTACCGCTTAAAGGCCCTGCTTTTGAATACCATCACCTTGGGGGTTAGGCTTCAGCATATGAATTTGGGGGAGACACAAACATTCAGATAGTGTCACTCATCTCATAGGTCACCTCTTTCATCTTTGGGTCTCCAGAACTCTGTGTGTGTGTGTGTATATGCGCTAATAAGCACGTGCTGAGTGAATATAAATGAACAAACCTTTCCTGATCCTCAGACATTTCTAACTGAGTTCCATTATTACCAAGCCTCAGGAGCACATTACTTTTTGCCTTATGATCTGTTTAGGTGAGTTTTTATTCCACATATCCCACTAATTCAGTGGTTCTCAAAACTGAGTATTAGAATCCCCCAGAGGGCTCTTAAGAACAGTTTGCTGGGCCCCAACCCCAGAGTTTCTGATGCAGAAGATTTGAAGTAAAGGGACAGAAATTGGCACTTCTCACAAGTTCAGAAATGACATTGATGCTATTGATTAGCAACCATACCTCATAAACCACTGTATTTACATTAAGCTGCTTGAGGGCAGAGACTGTGTTGCCTTTGTTTCAGTATCCCCTGCAGCCTCTGGCACATAGAAGCTGCACAAGAAATAGTTGATTTGCATAATAGTGCAACGTTCAAAAGATTTGCTGAAGCTAGGTTACAAGTATATGAATGAATATATGTTTAAATGAGTGAATGCATGTAAAAGCTCTTAAAATATGGCACATAGTAAGCTATGTTTGCTTTAAAAACATCATAAATGTAAACTTTCTTTGCTTAACATCATCTAAAATACACCAATCATCCTAGATGTGTGCTCTTTCAAGAGCTTGTATGTGAGAATAACAGAATCATAGCATTAAAAGCCTCTTCTGAAGATAATCTAGCTCATTAGTATAGAGCATCAAGAATTTTAGGAAATTGGTCACGTACTTTGTACATGCAGAAAGATGCAGCAGAGTTTGGTAGACACACTTCTTGCCCTCCTGAGCATGCACTCAATGGGGAAGTGAGGAGCATAGAGTATGTGTAAGTGTGAAGGCATTATGTCTTGAGGAGTAGGCAGCAACTGAGTGTGGTGGCTCACTCTTAGAATCCCAGCACTTTGGGAAGCCGAGGCAAGAGAACTGCTTGAGCCCAGGAGTCTGAGACCAGCCTAGACAGCATAGCGAGGCCTCATCACTACAAAAGATTTAAACAATTGGCTAGGCGTGGCAGCACACACCTGTAATCCCAGCTACTTGGGATGCTTGAGTGGAAGGATCACCTGAGACCCAGAGGTTGAGGCTGTGGTGAAGCATTCCGCACTCCAGCCTGGGCATCAGCGTGAGACCCCCAACTCAGGAAAAAAAAAAAAAAGCATTCAGTTGAATCTATGCAACTCTTAATCTTTATTAATCATTAGAACACATCTTTTTCACAGTCTGTGAAATACTCATCATGTTTGGTAATGGCTCAAGGGGTGTTTAATGTTAATAAATGAAAATAATTTCTTTGAAAACCATATGACTTCTTAAGTGTAACCAATAGGAACAACACAAGGAGCTTAGAATCAGGCTATATTTACACATGTTTATGGCAAAGGCATTTACAAGGAGCTGTTGGTCATTTGTGACATAGACTTCTCAGCAAGCTCCAGAAAGATGTTTCTAGATGGAATAACATGAAATTTGCCATTGTAAGATCCCCATGGTAAGTTCTTTCATAAAGAAAGTACTTATATCTGAATTATCTCTTTTTTGTTAGTGTACATTTTCACTCCTAGCTCACCCAAAATGGAACACAAAGATTGCTCCATAAACTATTCAGTCAGTACAACTTAATTTTATATTTTAAAAAAATTCACTGTACAGTTGTGGGTTCTTGTTCTTGTTCTGTTTCTAACTGGCATGGGGTTTGGGACAAGTCATTCACCTCTCTGCTTCAGTCAACTCGTCTTTGAATTTGGGACATTAATAGTGCTTCATCAGAATATGGTGAGGTGTAAGTGAGATCACTGCTGTGAGTTCTTAGCTGTGTCTAGCAGTCAGCAGATGTCACTTCTGCAACCAACCTTGTGTCACTCTCCATACTGTGGTGTGGTAGAAAAGTAAAATGAAAACACAGATGTGCTAAGCCTTGAGGGGCCAGTGATTAGCTGATGATAAGTCACGTGTTTTTCACGGGCTTGGGTAAAATGAGGAGACTGGATTTGCTCTGGTGCCTTCCAGCTCTCCAGCTTCATTGGCTACTGGCCATCTTAGACCTGGCCCGTTCACTACCGCACACTACAGAAGGGGCTAGAAGATAGGCCACAGGAAGATTCATTCCCGATGGTTCTCTAATTGTTTTTCTTAACTTTCTTGGCCCACTTTTTTACCCCTTAGAAGACCATAGAGTAGAATCTGGTGTCTGCCTTCAAGCTTCAGATAACATCTGCTTTACAGTCCCCAGCATGGCCCGAAGGAAGCTGAGGCACAGGTCACTAACAGGTTCTTTTTTTCCCTGAGTTGGAGTCTCACTGTGTTGCGCAGGCTGTAGTGCAGTGGCATGACAGCTCACTGCAGCCTCAACCTCCTGGGCTCAGGTGATCCTCCCGTCTCAGCCTCCCATGGAACTACAGGCCCATGCCATCACGCCCCGCTAATTTCCTTTTTTATGTTGTGTCGATACGCGCTCTTGCTATGTTGCTCGGGCTGGCTAGCAGGTCCTGAAGTCAGTGAAAATCAGTAGGAAAACGTGGCTTTGTATATGCTAATGATGGAGCACAGACACCTCAGGGAGCTTTCCAGTTCTTTCATCATGGAGTTAGATTGTGACTGTCCCTCGAGGAGGGGTTCCAGCCTTCGGTGGAGAACCTAGGCCTTTGCACGGTGGCGTGGCCCGGAGGCGGGGCTGCCGGCGGCCTCCCGACAGGGTGGGTGAAGCGGGTCCGGGACTCCCTCCGCTGCTACGCGTGTGATGCGGTTGGCTCCGCCCCTCCGGGAGTCCCGCTGGGTCCCTCCGGCCGCGGGCCGCGGGCCTGGGCACGGCCGCCCACCCCGGCGGG